TTCTTGTGAGAATTTAACACTGCATACAAATTCCTGTACAATATTTTCAAATTAATTTAACAAATTACAGTACGAACATACATATATCCTATCTGCATAGCACTTGTAACTGCATTGTTTTCTGGCGCCTCTCAAAAGTTGTGCCAGTGTGCAGTTTAAATGGCTGTAATTATTTAAATTGCACAGTATCACAACAAACTTACTTGTCTCCGGGACAAGACACAAAAAAAAACATGTAACACACATGGAATTCGTAAAACCCTCTAATGAATGTATATTTTGTGTACATTTTTGGGGACTCCTGTATTCCATATTTTTTAGTGGTATAACTCTTTTCAGTCCACGAGGTTCGTAAATTGAAGATGCGGGAAACTATATTCCGTACGACTATTTACTATTTTACAGACTTATATTTTTTATAATGTATTGATACGTAAATAAAAAAATATGTTTTTTATGTCTACCTCTGTATGCATGAACTCTTGGGTATCGTGTATACGATTTTAGTTACACCCAACGAATCCTGGGACATATGCGTGAGAGGTACCCGATAGATTTGAGTTACAAGCGCAGGTACCCTACAGAAATGTGGAGATATGCACATTAAAACTCGGTAGATATGCGAAAGGTATGCAGCAAAACTATTTGAATGTCAAGTACGTATAATACTCACAAGTACGCAAGAAACTATATCCAAGAAGTACTTGAGAAATACGCAGCGTGTACGTGGGAACTATACCCAACAGAGGGGCAATTTCTATCAGAGTACACCTTATATGTTTCATTATTTTGCTAAAATTTCTTATTATATAGGCATCAGTAGCAGTATGTCACAGTCTGGGGGATTTATTTCGTTTTAAAGATTAAATTAAATAAAAACTGAATATCGCGAAAAGGAGGCGTTAACGCGAACTCCCCTGTAACAGTATTGGTTTCGCGTTCACCCCAAACTATTTTTTTTCCAAGTTTTTTATTATTATAATTTAACTGGAAAAAATCACCAAAGCTGGGCCAGTCCAAGGCAACAGCAAAGCTGGTTACTAAGCAACAATCTCCATGGACACTTTCTAAAGTAAAAGAACCACGATATAAACAAAGACAGAGCTTTTATTTTTACAGGGTATCAGGAAACAGTATGTCATACTTGTGGTGTCACGTGATATCATCGATAGTATTAGCTCATAATTGTATCAACAAGCTCTATAAACAATACACACTTCTACGTGAATCGACCCAACTCATCACAATATAATGTTAGTAACTAAATACATATAAATTATGGAAAATGAACACCCCCCGTTATCCATAGAATGTATTTCCCTGAATACAATTTGTGAATTGATAATGTAGTCGCCGTACGGGTGCCACATTACGATAATAAGGGGCTAATCGCGCGTTAATTTCCCGCAAAAAATGAACTGGCCTGGTTAACTAACCCCCCCCCCCCCCCCCGGTTCACCAGAGTTGAAACGTAACAACTATTCCATTTGCAGGGGAGGGACTTCGATCAAACTGAAACTAATGGTGGTATATTGTCGGATGACAGTGTTCAAACAACATGAAGTACTACGATTAAATTTACATTGATTCTAAATCACGTTTATAAAGTTACCATGTTGACCTGGCAGTTAGTTTTCAAATAAATTAAATATACCGCAACCCCCTACAAGGAAATGGTGAAACCATCTCATGATTGATTCGCTTCTCTGGCTCAGCGAGAAATCCGTCATTCTGATATATCGACCTATAGTCATGGCACGGAAAGGTAAGAAACGTGCGGCTGTTAATGCTGCCGAAGATACCGCAGAAAATGTGGAGTCTACCGCCGACAAGGCTACTACCCCAGCCTCACCAACGAAGAAGTCGAAACAGAAGGCGATAGATAAAACAACTGATGCACCTGCCGAAGCAGACATTTCTGACCACGATGGTACTGATGTTGTTGACGAAGATGACAAGCCAGAAGAGGTCGAGGTAAAACCAAGCCAAACAGAAGGCTCCTACAACGAAGACGGCAATGGGAAAGATTCAGAAAGCGATGAACCTTCGAAAAACCTTGAAGATGAAAACGGAGATGAGAAAAAAGTGTCAGAGCCCCCCAAAAGTGGGCGTGGTCGCAAAAAAGCAACACCAAATCCAGACGCAGGGGAAAGTGAAAGTAACGCTGATTCTGCCGATGAGCCACCCAAAAGAAAACGTGGTCGCCCAAACAAAAGAGGTACAGCCAGTAAGACGAAAGAAGCAACTCCGCCGATTGAGGAAGTGAAAGAAAAAAAGACGTCAACTCGTGGTAGGAAACCCCGTGCCGCCAAAACAAAAACGCAGTCAGATGATGAGAAAAAAGAAACTACAGAAACTGGTAAAAAACGTGTCCGTGGCAAACCAACACAAAACAAAGGAGGCGGTGGGGATTATAGTCAAGTTAAAGTCAATATTGAACACTGGTAAGTATTGCCATATATCCTTTTCAAGATACTCAAAATTTCATTTATTTCGTAAATATATCATCTTGTTGCCACCATTAACAATAACATGACGATGACAATGACAGCGACGAAGACTGTATTTCTTCAATAGGCGTCAGTTCTGCCTACTTGATATGAATACTAATTACTGTGCAAACCAGTATTGATACCAGTACAAACCAGTTTACTATACAATGTATTCGGGTGAAAGGTTGTAATATACGATGGTGGTGACACTGGTGACCTTTGTGTGTGGTGATGGGGGGGGGGGGGGTATCAGTTTTAAAAGATGATTCATGTGGAGTAACATTAATTTATGCTCTCCTTAACGGTGGTTACAGTGAAGGGCACAAAGCTGGGGACTGAACTTGAAAATATAGATCAGCTTTCATTCAAATTAAAATATTTATTGATTGGTTCAAGAGCTAAACATTGTCTATGACCATAATATGCAT